CTTTGCCATCTGGACAATGGCAGCCAGCGTGCTGGCTTACCCACTTCGACTATGATGCTAGCCAGCGTGCTGGCTTTGCCATCTCAACAATTGCATCACCACATGCCGCACTGCAGACTGAACAAGAACGTGTGAATCATCTGCCTCTGGTCATCCTGGTTGACGCTGAAGAAGTGGTCGTCAACAATGCCAAGGTTCCCTGGCATGATGGCTGGGCAAAGAGGAATAAGAAGGCTCTGGTTCATGTGCGATTGCAAAAGCTTGTGGGTTGCGTGAACCTTCTTCCAAGTATATTCGTCACTGCTGTTGAGTAGATATTTTAGTATAACCAACCACTATGCTTGTCATTGAGTAATTGACTGTCTCAGAGAAATTGACTGTCTCAGAGAAAAACGCGACAAAGTAGCGTGAAGTGACACACAGCAGGCACTGTAGATGTTTTAGCGCACTCTCGTTGTTCGGCTCGCGACTAGTCTTTGTACACAGCAAGGATAGCGTTGTGCTTCCGCAGAACGACGTCCACACAGAATATATCAGGAAGAAGTCACGGTATGAGACACACAGTTGGTTGGGTCTAGCGCGTCCCCCCGAAGCAGATCTGGATGGTGTAGGCATCTGTGAAGTTGCGGCTGTTGTTCCTAACCCAGTCTTCCCATCCACTGGACCACTGGACCACTCGCCAAAACTGCCAGGTTTCTCCATGGGCAACCCAGCATCTGGTTGCTATGGACTGGTTTGGCCATCTTTCATGGATGAGCTCTGGCTGGTCGTCATGGTATGTCCTGCTTCCATAGGACCAACAGAGGCACACCTGTCTCTGGTCATCCTGGTTGACGCTGAAGAAGTGGTCGTCAACAATGCCAAGGTTCCCTGGCATGATGGCTGGGTAAAGAGGGAGACCTACGAGCTAGTGGGCTGTAAAGTAGTAAATAGCGCATGCATAGCCATAAGAAGGCTCGGTTTGCCTGGTAAAGGTTTATGTGGGAAATGAATATTGCAAAAGCTTGTGGGGCGCGTTCAAACTTCTTGCTAGTATATTCTTCATTGCTGTTGAGTTGATATTGTGGTAGTTGGCCCAAGTTGTATGGAGACTTCTGCAATGTCACTGTGAGCCCTGAAAGGTCAGTCACGGAAAACGCACAGTCTGTTGGCACAGGCGCTCTGAGGGTGACATGTGCTTCGCTCTAGATGTAGTTGAGAACCACTATGCTGCTCATTTTCCAATCGCCTCTCCCACAGAAACATGCAACAAAGTAGCACGAGGTGACACATAGCAGGCACTGCGCATGTTTTCGTATGCTCTGGTCGTTCAGCTCGCGACTAGCCCTTGTATAGGGCAGAGACTCCCCGACACTATGTCTATACTTGTCGTGCTTCCGCAAAACGACGTCCACACAGGATTTGTAAGGAAGAAGTCGTGGTATGAGACATGCAGTTACCATGTGAACATCTAGGTGACACCCTGCGTCGGGGAGACTCTCACTGCGTTGTCCGCTCCGGAGACACGGCGGCGACCATCTGGGCCACTGCTTTTCTGAGATTTAGTTCACCAACCACTATGCCCTATGCTTGTCATTGACTACTTGACTGTCTCACAGAAAAACCGGCCTACTCTCGCTTTTCCGCTCGCGACTGGCCTTTGTGCGTCGAAAAGATTGTTTATGTCTAGTACTTGTTGCGCTTCCGCAGAACGGCGTCCACACAAGAGTTGTCAGGAAGAAGTTACAAGGTGAAATACCAAAATATGTCCAAGACATCGACCGAGACACAAGAGGTCCTGCGTGCTCAACAAGAGCGAGAATCTTCTTGCGATACTCAATCAGCATCCGGGGAGTATCTTGCAGCCCGACGCCAGCGTGCTCCTGTGCGACGTGCTCTTTGAAGGACTTTGCATCTGCGCAGTCGGTGGGACACAATCTACAGCAGAATTTCTGTAGGCAGTCACCTGCATCCTCAGGGAAAGATCGCAGTAAGCGCTTGGCTAAGGCTTCTTGCACACCAGAAACCGTGGGTGAACAGTCCAATCGTCTCGCGACTTGCTCGAGCTTCCACGTGACAGAGCGCTGTGTGTTGGTCAACAAATCAAGACACTCCATCTCGTCTGCTTCTGGCAACCAATGCTTACAGAAATCCTGCAAAGGATGAAACTCCTCCTTGCCCTTGCCCTCTTCTCTCCATCCAGGGATCGAAAACATCAGAGCACGTTCAGCTGCAGACCGCCAGAGTACACCACGCAGGGAATCGCCTTCCAAGGACAAACACTCAACTCTGTAACCAGGCAGCGGTGCAAAGTCTGCAGGATAAGCTTTCTGGAGGGTCCTCACACGCGCCTCCCTGCTGTTGAAATATTTACCCACCCTCTTCGCCAAGTCTGCATGCTGCTTCTTCTCGGGCAACGAAGAACACCCGTGGAGATCTTGCCAGGCCAACAAGTCATCGTGCAAAGTAACCACCTCCTGGGCTATACCACTGCGGTCCAATCTCGACTCCAAAACGGTCACCGGATTGTGCCACGCACGCAAACTCTCACGACAAGCAGGGTGCAACAAGTGCGCGACCAGAAACCAAGCAAAACGAGACCAATCCTCTGCCTTCTTGACTGCTTCAAAGGTTTCCATCCACGTGCACGATGTGCTCTCGTCCAGATGTCTTTCCCAGCCATAGCGCCGCATCAAAGTGCGCAACAAGAGTTTGTCTGCCTCATCATATCCACGACTCTTGTGCTTGTGCTTCAGCGCGCCCAAGACCGCCTGCACAGAGAGACACGGGAAAAAAACAAGCGAACGAACAACCAATCAAAGCAGAAACTGTGTCTCCGAACCAAACGTCCACATAAACCTTGCAACAGTCCCACGCTTTCTGCCGACCCACCTCCAAAACATCTTCTCGATCCTGGAAGCCACTGTCTGGCTCCACTGCTGGTCCAGCTTGATGACATGTGGCCAGGCTCCACAGTCGCTCTGCTACATCCACTGGATCTGCGCGATCCCAGCAATCCACCAACTGCCACCAACCTTGCGTCCAATATATTTTCGATGGAAACAGTCTATATGTTTGCGACCGAACAAAAGCCAAACAAACATCAGACCCCACAACACAATTCCGGTCCACACGCGCCCGGCCTCTGCGCTGTAGCGGCCGATTCTCCAACAACACAGCCAGCAAACTACTGCACTGCAATCCAGACAAACGGTCTGGCCATCTGATGCTTTGCAGTTGTTCCATCGCAGTGGTCCAAGTCTCTGGCACTTCAGCTGGAAACTGAACATTCAAAGCAGAAAGGTGTTGCAAGATGGCAACGGTGGCCTGGCTCAATTGCTCCAGCTCCGCGGCCGCGCTTCCATGCCTCCTCTCAATACTTTCCAACGGAACATCTTTGCAAAGACTCAGCATAGATCGCCGTAGCTGTGTCGCAGGAAAACTGACAGATGCCTTTGCTACGAGGTCTGCTGCAGGAACGGTCCGGCAATCTGCGAGCCAGCGCCAAAAGTGATACCTCACATCATCTTCCGCCCCGGGCGCTCGCAGCGGACAGAGCGACAGAACGATGCTATCCACCAGCCTGTTCCGATGCATATGCTCGCAAGGTAGGCCCAACTCCGAAGCTATATCCACCAAGGACGGCTCCGCGTTCCTCAGACGCACACCCCTCAGACGACCTCGGAGGGTCGGTGGTGCTTGGTCTCCCAGCTCCTGCGCCAAGCGTCGCAGTGACTCCGCAGTCACCGGTTCCTCCGCAGTGACGCTTGCGCAGACACATTCAACTTGGGTATCATTCAACTTGGGTATCATTCAACTTGCACGGATATCAGAAGCAGACACCTATTGGACCGCAAGAAAACAGAGTCTCAACTAAGTTGAACTATACAGCTGCAAATCACAAAACCGTCCTGAGCGTTCGGATGTCCCGGTTCCTGTCAGGGACTTTGCATGGATACCAAAAGCAGACACCCATCCTCGAACACAACCCTTCCTGCAAAGCGCAGCTTTCCACTATCGAGTCTAGCCAACACCTACTTCAACATAAACAGCTTGTGCGCAAAGTTAGACACCGCTCTACGCCCATCCCCTTACTCCAGCCCTCCTGCGATGAGAAGCAGTCCACTATGGCTTCCAGCAGCTGCTCCTTCCGAAGGCTGCTGCCGTCGCGCTTCTGCGGCAGTCCCAACTCAGCGCACAGCCGTCGCAAGTCGGTGTAGTTCTTGGCCTCCAACTCGGCCCGCAACCATGCCGCACCTCCCTCTCCATGTCCATCTCGCAGGCGCTGCACCTCTGGCTCCTGCTGCCCTGCTTCCTGTATGGGAATTTGCAGGGATATCAGAAGCAGACACCTATTGGAGCACAAGAAAACAGCGTCTCAACTAAGTTGAACTGTACACTGCACCCATCCCCTAACACAATTTGGGTATCTTAACAAAGATTGAAAGTCTTATATCTAGATATCTTTTCCTTACTCGAATACAGCTACAAATCACGAAACCGTCCTCCATGTTCGGATGCGCCGGTTCCTGTCAGGGATTTTGCTTGGATACCAAAAGCAGGCACCCATCCCCGAACACTACCCTTCCCGCAAAGCGCAGCTTTCCACCGTCGAGTCTACCCGACACCTACTGCAACACAAACAGCTTGTGCGCAAAGTTAGACACCGCTCTACGCCCATCCCCTGACTCCATCACTCCTGCGATGAGAAGCTGTCCACTATGGCTTCCAGGAGCTGCTCCTTCAGAAGGGCTGCGCCGTCGCGCTTCTGTGGTAGTCCCAACAAAGCGCACAGCCGCCGCAAGTCGGCGCGGTTCTTCGCCTCCAACTCGGTCCGCAACCATGCCGCGCCTCCCTCCCGGTGTCCGTCTCGCAGGCGCTGTGCCTCTTGCTCCTGCTGCCCCGCTGCCTCCGCGTTTCGCAGAACTGCGTCCTGCAGAGTGGTCATGGTCCGCGCGTCTCTTGACGAGAAGCCTATGAGGTGTGTCGAAACGTCTTGCAAGTACATTCTTCACGGCTCTTGCCTTGCTGCACGTTCCCGGCTACAGTCTGTGGAGACTTACGCGAACTCAATTGGAAATTGCTGCGGTCTCTCTGCTTGAGCCACCGCGCGCATCGCGCCAGGGACTCGATGCTCTAACCTCAAAACACACAACGAACACGAAACGAAACGTGCCTAAGATCTACAGTGAGAAACAAAGACCCGCGAAAGGATTTCATAAACATCTGCTTTATGCTGGCTTTGCCACCTATCTGTACATACATATATACATCTATAGCTGGCGAACCCTCATAGCGGTGGCCCTAGTAGCGTCTTTGCTCCTATAGTAGCGATGCCAGGAGCCCCTAATAGCGTCTTGTTCCTAGTCGTACGGCCAGGAGCCCCTAGTAGCGTTCTTATTACTAGTAGTAGTGCCCTTGTTACGTTTCTTCGGCAGGACGCCTTAGCCAAGATGCGCTTTTTGCGCCTCAGCCGAGCCAAAGAGCTTTTGCTCCAAAGAGCATATATATACATCTATATAAGGATAATATGGCAGCCAGCGCGCTGGCTTTGCCATCTAGATTCTGGGAACCAGCTCACTGGCTTTCCGCGTGCTGGCTCATACCCACTTCAACTATGATGGCAGCCATCGTGCTGGCTTTGCCATCTGGACAATGGCAGCCAGCGTGCTGGCTTACCCACTTCAACTATGATGGTAGCCGGCGTGCTGGCTTTGCCATCTCAACAATGGCAGCCAGCGTGCTGGCTGACACACTTCAACTATGATGGTAGCCAGCGTGCTGGCTCATACCCACTTTACCCACTTCAACTATGATGGCAGCCAGCGTGCTGGCTTTGCCATCTGGACAATGGCAGCCAGCGTGCTGGCTTACCCACTTCAACTATGATGGTAGCCAGCGTGCTGGCTTTGCCATCTCAACAATGGCAGCCAGCGTGCTGGCTTACCCACTTCAACTATGATGGTAGCCAGCGTGCTGGCTTTCCATCTGGACAATGGCAGCCAGCAAGCTGGCTTCCACTGCCTGTTATAAGTGTTCAGTGTGAAGTGTTAAGTCGAGTGAGTTGAGGCAGTGTGTGGGTCTCTGTGTGTGCGTATCTATGTCTGTGTGTGTATGAGTCTCTGTCTGTGTGTGTCTCCGAGTAAGTTGAGGCAGTGCGTGGGTCTCTGTTTGTGTGTGTCAACCTCTCAAGAGAGCCGGGTGGTTGGGAGACATGACTCAGCTGCAGGGGCGCCAGAGCAGCTGCGAGAGATGACTCAGCCGCGAGAGATGACTCATCCGCGTACTAAAGTTGTACTGCAAAGTCGCCAGTTCTCAGCTTCCAGCTCCACAGATTGCTCCGCGTACTAAAGTTGTACTACAAAGTCGCCAGTTCTCATCTTCCAGCTCCCCAGATACTCCGTTGTACTACAAAGTCGCCAGTTCTCATCTTCCAGCTCCCCAGATACTCCGCGTACTAAAGTTGTACTACAAAGTCGCCAGTTCTCATCTTCCAGCTCCCCAGATACTCCGCGTACTAAAGTTGTACTACAAAGTCGCCAGTTCTCATCTTCCAGCTCCCCAGATACTCCGCGTACTAAAGTTGTACTACAAAGTCGCCAGTTCTCATCTTCCAGCTCCCCAGATACTCCGTGTACTAAAGTTGTACTAGAAAGTCGCCAGTTCTCAGCTTACAGCTCCACAGATTACTCCGCGTACTAAAGTTGCACTACAAAGTCGCCAGAGGGTTGCGCGCACACCCGGCAAATCGCACTCTCGCCTGCATTTCGCGCACTCCACACGCACGATCTCCGCAGAGGGTTGCGCGCGCAGCCGGCAAATCGCACTCTCGCCTGCATTTCGCGCACTCGGCGCGCACGATCTCCGCAGAGGGTTGCGCGGACACCCGCCAAATCGCACTCTCGCCTGCATTTCGCGCATTCGACACGCACGATCTCCGCAGAGGGTTGCGCGCACACCCGGCAAATCGCACTCTCGCCTGCATTTCGCGCACTCGACACGCACGATCTCCGCAGAGGGTTGCGCGCACACCGGACCAATCGCACTCTCGCCTGCATTTCGCGCACTCGACACGCACGATCTCCGCAGAGGGTTGCACTTTCGGTTGACGCTGTTCGTCCCGCACTCCGCCTTTAAGAGAGAATCTATAAAGTGGGGAAATGTTTTTTCATTAGGACATCTCCCGTGCTAGTTTTCCATACTCACACTTGCATACTCACCCTTGCATATCATGCTTGCATACTTACCCTTGCATATCACGCTTGCATACTTACACTTGCATACTTTGACACTGGCATACTTCGCACTTGGATGCTTTCGCTCTTCCAGTGTGTGTGTGTGTAAGTGTAAGTGTCGAAGTGTAAGTGTTCAAAGGATTTTCCGGAAGAACCCTTCGCAATGCTTTCGGGAAAAAGGCGACTACGAGTGCGTGCAACGGTCGACTCGTTGATGGGTCGTTTGGGGGAGAAATGAGGGAGAGCGTTTGATGAGTGCTCCATGTCGTTCCAAGACGTTGCTCTCTCGTTCCACGGGGCACGTCTCATCCGGCATGGTTCCTTCGGTCCCGATCGGTTGAGCTTGCCTGATCCACTTTCGTCAAGACATACGCCAGCTTTCCAGCAATTTCTCCCCAACTCTTCCTAGGGCCAAGACCGGGCCAAGACCGGTTCACAGCGGGGTTACCCTTGTCTTGGTCGACTGGTGGACTCAACCAGTACTTCTTCCTGATTTGGGTGCGTTTGGTTTTGAGGGCACACTTGTCACAACAAGGGACGTACAGATCTTACATGTGGTGGCTTCTTTATCCTCCTTGCACACCAAACAGGAGTCCATCCTCTTGACCAAGAGTCCGGTACCTTTGGACCAAAAGGAAAATCTGCAGGAGCAAAATATATAAGGATCTCCGCACAGGTTCTCCAGTATGGATCAACGTCCAATACTGCGACCGACAGGGACATCTTTCCAAAAGAAACAAAAGTGGGATGAAGCTGTCAGAATGATTGCCAAGATCCCCCGTCTTTTCCGCCTTCCGTCTCCATGCAACTGGAATGAAAAGACGTGAGCCAACGAACAGCCGAAGGCAGGCCAACCCCTTTCCCCCCGGCTCAATGACCCCCATGATCCCTCATTAATTGTGTAGGGGGGGGTCAAATGAGTCTTGGACCCTAGATTCGATCAAACCGAGTCTTCCAGGTGGTTTTTGTGTGTTTTTCCCGTCGGCTGAGGGGACGAAGGAATCTTCTGGGGCCTGAAAAGAACGGAATCTGCTTCAGAGTCCTTGGCGCCTTGGCGCGGCTGCCACAGCTGCGAATGAAACAGTGAACGGCGTCCAAAACCGTGGGGGTCGCCCAGGTCACCCAGAGTCAGGGCGCAAGCCGCAGCATGTTGATCGGTTAAAACCGCGTGCTTCACAAAAAAAACAGGAGACCTGAGTGATGTGCAGTTCCCCCCCCAAACCACCATCTGCAACTGCCAGGGCCCCGTCACCGCCCCCCGGCCCCGGCTCCCCCACCGCCAGCGCTTTGAGTCGAAAGCGCTCGGCGTGGGTCTCCTTGCGCTTGGACTTCTCATGTCGCCCCATGCCCAAGGCCAACGCTTCGAAGCTCATGAAGTGCTGCTGCCTCCCGAAGTGGCCGGACATGTGGAAGAAAACATCTGCGGATTTGGGACGTAGGTGACAGGGTGCTAGAAAGATCGCCAAGGCCCGCCAAGGGAAGTGTGTATGAGGTGTGGTTTGTATGATCGCAAGCTCGCGGCCACGTGGAAATTGGCCACGTGGAAACCGTGTTGGACTTGAATTGATGAGTTGTGAGTTGGGATTTTCAGACTCCCAGGATGCTGATTGAAGCGTGCGTGCAACACCCTAAGATTGAGAGACACTGGTGCCAGTCCCCTGTGAATGGGAAGTTCAGACCCAAACTCTGATCGGAATCACTGTCCACCAACATCTCAAACTGGCTTTCCGAAAGACCTCTCTCTACCCTCTCCCATCCCCTGTTCTTCGCCGCTTACGCTCGACTCGCTCTCACAGCTCACAGCTCGTCGAGTCGACTCCCTGGCGCGCTCCTGCTCTTGGGATCTCGCCACCCGCCGGCGTGCTTCTTCGCGCGCGGCGCGAAGATCCCCGCGTGGTTGGGCGCGGGCGCGCCAACGCCGCGGTCTTCGGTCAGGAGGCTGTGCAGCGACCTGGAAGATGCGGTGTTTGAAGACGCCGGCCCCCCTGACTTCGTGGGAAAGGAAACGTCCCAAAAGTGTATCCAATTAGGTGAATTTGATCCTGAAGTCATGTTGACTTGGTTGGCCACGCATTACAAAACTGTGAATAGGCACGTGAACACTAAGTCACATGGGGGTGGTCACTGAGGCAGCTTGAGGACATCCTTGACCAAATGATCTTGTTGTGAGATCATCGAGGCATATACAGTATAGCTTGCCCAAGTTGGAGAAATTGTCATTGTGTCAGTGTTCAAGTCAAGAAAAAACCTCTAAGCCTCATCGTGGCTTGAAACTCCAGTCACGTCGTGGAATGCGTGAAGAATGAAGAAAAAACCATCAGGATGTTCTCTGGCGATGAAAAGGCCTTTTCAGGCCCTTGTCTTCCAGGGTATGTGTCAAATGGTCCACCATTGACCACATGCTATTTCTCCTTTCCGGTCAATTCATGCTTCACCTCTCCCCCGACACGAGTTCTCCGAGTCACGGCACAGGCGTCGTGAACTCCTCCTCCCGGAGGTCCACCTGGAGGAGCCACAGATGGAATGGCCGGCTAGCCACGTCTTCAACTGCTCTGCTGACCCTGCCTTTCAGCTTTTTGGATGGATGATTTGAGTCTTTCAGGGATTATTTAGACTCAACAAAGAATCAAACTGTTTGGGTTTATGAGATCAAACCCTTCGATGGCTGAGCCCAACCCAAAGGAATGCTGCCTTTCAAGGGATCCACCAATGATCTCAGTCCATCCGGGCTCGTGACATCGCATCAAGACCTCTTTTCTTCTACCCCCAGCATGCATGGTTATGATCTGCCAGCATGAATGGAGCGACTGAACTGAGCCTGCGATGCTGATCTGCCGATCTGCAATACCTGAAGGCAGCACTCTGCCAATCTGGGTGACTGACATCGGGGATGGTGAGACGTGCGAGAGAGCTGCAGTTGGCCAATATACCTGCGGTCCAAGGTGAGCCACGGAGTCCGGGATGGTCGCATGTCACAAGGAGCTGCAACATGCCAACACTGGCCTTGATGTGGCCCGTCACGGAGTCAGGGATGGTCACACTTGTGTGGCAAAGACCAACTCCCTAATGACCACAGAGTTGGGAGCTGCAGTGCGCAAAGGCACAATGACCCATGCAAATCACCGAGCTGGAAATCAAGAGATGCAGCATGCGAAGGCACTGTTCGCCACAATCAATGTGGGTCACAGAGTTACCAGTCGGTTTATGAAGGCGCTCCAGCTTGGACTCACCACCGACCTGATTGGCCTCCAGGACTTCAGCTGCCCAAACTTGAAAAAAGTCTGCAGCCAGCAGTCACAAAGGGTGCCTATTGGAGGATAGGGGTGCCCATTATCCACTCACTTAGGGACTAAAAACAATCCCTTTGTGACTGCTGGAGGACTTTTCACTGCGTCTTTGGTGAGTATTGTTGCACCGGAACTTGGAGAAATGCCAGCATCTGCAACCGCCTCACCCTCCTCCAGCTGTTTACCGTTCTCGAGAATCATCTCCACCCGCGTTAGTTTCGGCGTTTCTGCCAAGGCTGCTGTCTTTGGATCTTGAGCTGCCGGAGCAGTTGTATCTGGCATGACTTCTAGAACTATTGCTTTCTGCGTAAATGACATGTGCATTGCCGAATCAGGTTCCATTGATCAGAGGCAAGTGCTTCGAGCCCTTTCGGATGTCTGACAGGTGACACTTCCGGAATCCAAAGAGACATCAGCAAGCAGCAGACACTGCAACGAGCTCTAGTGACTCCAGTGCTCCGTAAGGATGGAAAAAGAGGTCCCTACGGATATGAAAACCATACTTTCTCATCCACTTTGAGGTGTCACTCTACCGTCCCACCTTCACTTCTCCCCTCCTCCTCCATCTTCTCGACTTCACCCCCTTCACCTCGCCTTCGTCTGTTCCTCGGCCACGCTCAGCGACGCGTTCATCATCTCCACCAGGTCCTTGACTCCGTGCCCAAAGCTGCCGCCGAACCCCCCTCCGCGGGCGGACGCCGCCCGCACGGAGGAGCGGCGGCCGCTCGGCCCGCCGGGCAGGAGCGTGGTGACGGAGCTCGGGGGGCCTGGCGAGCGTGGAGGTGGGGACTGGTGCCGTAACCTGGGCGAGATCTTCAATGAGATAACCCTACCAGTCCTTTTGGGCCAAGTATTGAGTATGGTTTTTTTCATGACCCTTTTGTGACATGAGGTCCTTGACCTGTTGGGTCCTGAGATCAATAATGATGTTCAATTCACCTCTTCCCCTGCAGTGGGCGAAGAGAAAACACGCAGAAAACCCATCTTCCCCAAAATCGTTCAACCAAAACGACGTGTGACACGTATTTCCCCTAGATGTCTTCAGTTCTCCCAGCCCAACCACTTCAGCACTCCGAAGCACAGAACACGCATCCCACGCCTTCCTCGCTGGAGCCCTCGCTGGAGCCTTCCGGCTCGTCCTTCGCCTCGTCGGGCTCCGCGGAAGAAGAGTCTTTCGCCTCGTCGGACGCCTGGCACCGCCGGTGGACGCCGGGTGCAGCAACCCGTCCTGTCGAGGCTCCCGGCGACTGGCCTTGAAGGAACGAAGGAACGTAGTTCAAACACATAAAGAGTCATGAAACACTCAGCCAATCAGCTTGACAAGCTCACCCGGTAAAAACTTCACTGATATCATCGTCCCGTTCGTCCCGTTCATCCCATCCCTTCCATGAGCTCTCCAAACATCCGACAAGTCCCACTCCCCATCCGCGCCTCAGAGCCACTTTGCTCATCATTCCCCCACAGGCTCGACGCTTCGCTCTCCGCCTCTTCCATCCGGACCGCGGAACACCCCACGGAACCCGCGCCCCACACGCCCGCGGCCACTGACCAAGACAGCGCGGAACGGTCGGACCGTGCAAAAAGGAGGCTTTCACATGGAACCGGTCCAAAACAAAGCACCTCTCCTCTGCGAAGAAAATGAAAAAAGATGAAACAAGTGCTGGGTGATTCGGTGATTCACCCTGTCAAAAACGGTACTTTTATGTATTATTGAGACTGACTCGTTCATCGAATTAGGATTTCAACCCCAATAGATCCTGTTTCAGTTTTTCTGCTGTGTGACACAGGCTGTGTGGCAGGCCCTGGTGTCTTGAATCTTCACGTCCGGTGTCGTGCACCGTCCTCATCTTTCCCTAAACACCCCTGCCACGGCCACGGCGGTTTTGTTTGTTTCTTTTCCACGTGAAACGTGAGTGACATATCGTTGGTTGACATCCCCCAGACCAAATGGACCCTTGAGAATATCATACCAATCAACAACGGGCCCGATTTTCGCTGCTTTGCAAGAACCAAAATGTTCTCTGATCCTTGAACGTCAAGCACCTGGCAGAAACGATGCAACATGCGTTCACCACTCTCACCACTCTCAGCTTTCCCTCACTTGACCGTGACCCAACACCTCCAGACCCATGACACGGGCGGAAAAAAAAACGGAACAAAACTGAGTGCGTGGGCCGTCGATTGGGATGGTGCCAGGGTCCGTGATGGTGTTGCCACGGCACATCGGTGTGGTTCAGGATCTTCTGCAAGTCTGACCAGTCGCAGAGCTGGGGAACTGCTCCGCTTCGGGGGATCCGGACCATCGTCTCACCGGCTGAAGTGGCGGGGCTAAGTGGAGACGCCAGTGGACTTGTACGGTCTGGTTGTGGAAGTTACAAATAAGCCGCGGAAATTGTATATATAGCACATGCGGTTTATACTTCGGGGGATTGGAAAAAGAAGGTCTTGAGTCATTTAGGTTCTGTGATACCTCAAGTGATTGAATCACAATTTCAATCGGGACCCTTACGGAGCGTGCTCTAGGAGTCGTTGCTTTTGAATAGCTGAACCCTGCTGTTGGTGGTTCCCGACTTCCTGCTGACATGCTGGGTCGGGCTCGGCGGAGGTTCCCCGCCTTCCGGGGTGAAGGCACCTGGTTTGAATACAAAGTCATGGGACATCATTGGCTGCTGTCGGCGTCCGAGCCGGAGCTATTCATTCGGTGTGGTTAATGACGCGCGCAGGAAGCTTCAACTGACGACTTTCACGGTTTTTGTAGAGGAAGAATGGGTGGAAAAGGAGCGTGTTCGGAGTCGAAAGCTGCTTGCTTCTGGCGGATCTTACAGGGCTGTGATGTCACAACCATCTTGGAGCTTCCCGACTTCCCGAACTGCTTCCCGAACTGCTTGCACCGAACTGCACCGAACTGCACCTGTGCACATCTCAGTCTTGTTCGTGTCCGTGGCACAGAACATGGCCACCTCAGCCGAACTGGATGAGTGCTAGGCCGCCAGCCAGTCGAGACACAGCGGAGACATGTGGCGGAGCCATGCAGCAATCGGTGCAGCAATCGGTGAATCGGTGGAGAAAACGTGTTTGGAGACATGCAGTTTCATCAGCTCGGCAGTGACTCTGTGGGTCGGCGCATCGTGTTCTTCCACCTCAAGTCCGTCCTTCCCATCTCAGTTCTGTCGCACCTTTGGAGTTTCCGCCAACTTCACCATCACTCGAAGCCTTCACCATCAGGCTTTCTGGCTTTTCTGCCGTCCGGTCTTCCCCTGGTTTTCGCTCCCAGCCACCGAGCTCGGCTCCGACGAAACCTCCGACCCGGCAAGCCGACCGAGGCGCAAAGGCCATGCCCATCATCGCCAGGAGGGCCAAGCACAGGCCTACGGGATCCCCGGTTCCGGGCATCTGGTCGATATATGGTCGATATGGCTCGTTCTCGAACTGCTGAGTAGCATGTTTTAGCATTTTGGCATGGATTTTCTGGAACGCAGAGTCCGAAAGTCACTGGCCCAATGCTTTGTAGCAGCCAAGAGGTCCCCCAACAAACCTAACTAAGACTGTATGGCCATGGGTCAAAACCCGGGGTCGACCCCTGAAAAGGAACAGATTCCTCTACAACCAAAAAAGGTCAACTTGCCATGACTCACGGTGGGGGAGGTGAGGTGACTCACCAGCCATATTAAGGCCAGCGTTATTTGCCCGCATGGTCATGGTCTTCTGACGAGACTTCTCCAGAGTTCCACCCCAGACGTTCTCGGTGTGTCTACCGCTTTTCCGAATCGATCCAACTCCTAAATGAAGATTCAGTTTCATGTTTTTCCCCACCTACCAGGGCCTCCAAGCACCAACCAGTTACCTCCAAGCTCACGGCAGAATCTGTCATGGATTAGGTTGCTCAACTCATCCAAAACCGATCCACCGATTCCAACCCCTTTAACGGGGTGGTTCCGTCGCGATGATGCTCAAAGAAATGCTGACGAACGGGACCCGCGAGGATGATCCAAAATGGGATCAGAGACGAATTCACCCAGTCACTGATGGTACACCCATTCAGTCAACGGGATATCAAACGGTCTACCCGTTCGGAGGTGTTCGGACGAACCAAGAAAAGCTCTCCGGGCGCCCCCACACAGGCCGCCTAAGGCGGCGGCCGCCGGGGCAGGGAGTGAGTCGTAAGGGGACGTCCAACATAAACCGCGTGAGGTAGGCCATCGCGCACTTTCTGGATGGTGGCATCACCGTAATCAAACACAAGCAAGCATGACGCAGCAGGCAAGACATCTTTTTCAAACACCATCACCACAATCATCCGACAATTAAGATGGTGACTGAAGCCTGAGTGGGCGGAAATGCATGCCAGTGAGATTCAGTGATGGAGTGTGCACCCAGCGCCTGCCAGGCCTAAACACACCTAGCAGAGAAGCTTCACATGGTCCAATGCATGTTCAACTGAATGAAACCGATCCATTTGGAGGGTCATCTTAGCCCTGGTCACGCTTTGACAGGGTTCTGTCTTTGGCAGCGCACACATTCATGGTGGCTTCGAGCAACGCAAAAAAGAAGGCGGAGGGTCATGGTCATGGCTGAGCTTTTCTTCAGCCCTTTGGTCGGTTCTTGGTGAGTCTTTTCTGGTTCGGCTGATTGCCAAGGACAAGAGGTACAGCGTTCGTTCGACCCAAAAGGAAGCAACCAATGTGAAGAAACCAATGTGAAGAAGTTGGTGAGTTACTCATCCAGCCTCGGAAGAACGAGTACAAGCGATTCTGGCAAGTGGGTAATTTAAAAGTGAAAATAATAAGTTAAAACGTTCCTCCGTCTTCGGAGCACTCTAGAAGCTAGCATTATATCCGTATCACTGTATCATGTTGAACCTTCTTGGGAGAAACGCTCACAACAACAACCAGTGCAACAACTTACTTTGTTGTTGGTTTGCTGCAAGTCATTGTGGGCTTTGGGTCAGAGTGTGACTGAAAGCTACCTTCTGATGCACTGGCAGGTCAGAACCAAAAGTTGCTTTTTGCCCCTGTTCGTGTTAAACATATCGGGACGAATTGTGCAACCATGCCCTTGTGCAAGTTGTTTTTGTCATTCTTTTGACGTGTTGTTTCTTTGCATTCATCGCCCTGTCCGGTCCCGAAGAAAAACAAGTAAGCCAACAAACCAGCCAGAAGGCCAAAACAAACCAGCATTCAAGCAATCGAACAAAAACGAAAAGGCGAGCACAGCAATTAGCAAAGCAAAGCAACGCAACGCAACGTGCAACGCGTCCGGCAAGATGAACAAGTGGCAAAGGGTGCTGGCGGTGACGAGGGAGGCGCAGGCGGGAGCATAGGAGCGCGGGCGGCGCTGCCGCTCCTGGAGCGCAGCCATGCGCAGCCATGACCGGGCCCCTTATGGCTGTCACAATGAACGATATGAACCTTCTTTGTGTTCTCTGATGATGCTTTCAGTACACCAGTTTCTCCTAGCTGGCGTGCTTCTTCTTCTGTCTGTTTTCAGTGGGGTTACATACAACACGAAGCCCCAAAAAAAGGGAATCTACCATCCATCCCGCTCCAAAAACCCAAGACCTTCCCGGTCCACGCCCCTTGTTTTCAGCTCGCTCTCCGTCCAACGGTCCACGGTCCGGCGGTCGGACGGTCCAGTCGGTGTCCTCGTAAGGCTTGCAGAAGTAGTCCAAGGCCACGATGCCCCAAATGCACAGCGCCACCGGGAAGCTGCACTGGGCAGGTCGAGCAGAGCGGCGGCGGGAGCGAGGGCGGGAGAGCTCGGTCTGGGAGGTCTGGGTGCTGAGTTGGTGGCACTCCATTGCTCCATATGTTTCCCAACCGCCACATCTCTTTTTTTTAGAGTATGTTCTTAGATGAGCACCCATCACTCCTTTCTTTGTGAGGAGTGTTCAACAATTAGTAAGATGGACCATCGATGAAAAGCCGATGGAGGAGCCATTTCAAGAGGCCCGTTTGATCTTACATGATGATTTCAGAAGCTTTCCCCATCTTCATCGCTTCAAGTCGACCTTCATCGCCTTCAAACACCACTAGCACCACCGGGCACCCGCTCCACCCACGCTCCACGCTCTACAACTGGCGGCTCTCATCTCTCTCCTCCAGGGTCTCCCGGCCAGGCAACAGACCAAGAAGCTCAAGCCATAGACGATCCAACCAAAGGTCGCACAGCGTTGGTCCGCCTGCTCCGCGCGGAAGCGCGCGGATGCGCTTCGGTCGTCGGCACGGTCTCACCGGTGGCACGGTCGTCACGGTGCGGTCCGAGGGGCCGAAGAAGGGCAGAAGGGCTGCGAACGCGACTCAGGCAGCAGCAACCACCCCAAACAAATTTCGCAAACAGGTGTGCCAAGCAACGACCGTTCACCTTTTTCCTCACCTTCAACCACTGATGTTCGCCTAGAAGTGCAACGAAACCCGAGTTTCGGAGTAAGCCGCAGTTTGAGAATGCACGATCCATTTGGTGTGCAAGTGAGTTCGGCATGGTCACACGTTCTAAAGAGGTGCAATAGGCAAAGGCAGACTTTCCAATAGAAGTCACCGACTCTGGGATGGTCACACTTTGCAGAGAGCTACATTCTCTAAATGCACTTTGCCCTATGAGGGTCACGGACTCAGGAATGGTCACACTTGTCAATGACCTGCAGCCCGCAAAGGCATGATCCGGAATATCGGGAACAGAGTCAGGAATAGTCACACTTGTCAAAGAGCTGCAGCCAGCGAACAAATCATGTCCAATCTCCGTCACCGAGTTGGGAAGGACCACCTTCCCTAAAGAGCTGCAGTCTCTGAAGGCGCTTCCCTCAATTCGGATCACAGAGTTCGGAATAGCCACACTGGTCAAAGCGACGCAGTTCTCGAACGCACCGGTTCCAATACTCGCCACGGAGTCCGACAGGTTCAGCGTCTCCAACGACTTGCAGCGTGCAAAGGCGGAACCGGCAATGTGCTCCAAAGAGTTGGGAATGGTCACACTTGTCAAAGACCAGCAGCTGCCAAAGGCTTTAGCCCCAAGACTCATCAGGGAGTCCGGAAGCGATACACTTGTCAAGGAGCCGCAGAATTCGAAAGCACCATACTGAATCTGGGTCACTGAGCCTGGGATCCTCACGTTGATCAAAGAGCTGCAACCTGTGAAGGCACCGGGTCCGATGACGGTCACGGAGTCGGGAATCGTCACATTTGTCAACATGTTACAGGCAGCAAACACATCGTTTCCTATGCTTGTCAGCGAGTGGGAGATGGTCACACTGGCCAAAGAGCAACCGGCGAAAGCACCAACTCCAATGTCCGTGACAGAGTGAGGAATGCAAATATGTGTCAACATGCTGCAGCCAGCAAAAGCCTCTTTTCCAATATGAGTCACGGAGTCAGGAATAGTCACACTTGCCAAAGATCTACAGCATTTAAAAGCCTTGTCACCTATGCAAGTCACTGAGTCCGGGATGGTCATTTTAGCCAGGATGCTGCAGTCCTTAAAAGCACCTTCAAGGACTTCATGTTCATCGCTGGGGAATTCAACCGCCAGTAATTCCACCTCCAAGTGATCCAAATCCGTTTCATCCTCGGACCGAGGTAGATCACTGTAATGAGCGCATCTCACGACATGTTCTTTGAAGACGACCGTCACCTGGGAGCTGGGATCAAGACCCGCATCGGCCACCGTCACATCATTCGCCAGCGAAGCACCGTCTCCTCGTCTCTCGGACGATACGGACGAAGGAGGAGTGGACCACTCGATTCGAATTGCTCGTAGAGTGAGACACAAAAGTCTTATGGTTCACTCTTGTTTTCCGGATTGAGTTTAGGGGATTCCTAAAACATATCAATGTCAATCCTTTCTGCCGGTAAGTCTCCAACAATCAGGTCCACACGAGTTGTGAGACGCTTGAGCTCGTCGAACAGCTGCCGTGCTTTGATCCGCCGCTTGAGTTCTCGACCAGTCGTTTCTGGCGTGACTTCAAGAAGCATCACTTCACCATTCAGTTGCATACAAGAAAGCTCCATGGCCATGGACACTACTAAATGCCTCAATCTACACTCAATCTCATGATAATGATGTCTTCAGAGTGAATTCACTCTGAGCTTTTCCTGAATAAGAGTCTGCAAGAATCTCTTGAGCCGCACCCACCGCACAAAACCCTTGAACGGGCCACCTCAACGGGTCAGTTTGGAGTGTCCCAACCAACCAGACCAAAACACGCTGAGCTGATGGTGCCCACACGCTGGTCACGACCAGAGACGTTTTTTGCGTCGACTCACAAAGAGGGGTTCCGATCTTCCTGGTCGCGAAGGGGTTCTGCCTCTCCACACCCAGTCCTGGGCATATCTGCGCGTGCCTCTACGGCGTTCACAACAGTGGGGCGCGGGAGCAAGGCCTGGCAGGTGATTGAGCTGCGACCGAAGACGACGAAGACCGAAACTCCCAGGTGTTCAGGGCTCGACTGGAAGAAATCCTGCACTGGCTCGTGTTCAGGTCGATGGCCCCCTGTTCTGATCGCTGGATGTCTTTCGACCAGACCCACGGGACAAAGAGGCACTCTTCATCCAAAAGCTCAAAACACACACTCCAACCGTGTCGCGAAAACGGCGTGGTCTTGGTCTCCAACCGAGTTCTCGTCTTCTTCACCCAAATGTTCAGCCGCTCGGTTTGGGTGAACACACCCAAACCGAAACAGCACGACACGGTGGGCGATCGAAAACGGTGGCGAACGGTGGCGACGGTGTTCACCGGTTCGACGGGTCGCCATGTGGGTTGAGTTGGAGGTGTTTTTTCAACCCCAAAGAGATCCAAAGAGGGATTTGGCATGATTTTACACCCACCAACCTTTTAGGGTGCACTAGGTTTGGTCTCAAAAAACAACAACTTGCCATGAGTGCCCTTCACATTCAGAAAGCCGATTCTGCCGTTCAAATCATCCCCAGCTGGGTGCTTTTGTGCGAACTTCTAGGTGAAGCCCTCAATCAAGCTCAAGCCCTACGTGGCACCCACGTTGTGAGACCCTTCGCCCTATGTGGCACCTCTCGTGCTTGGGCCAGATGGTCGTCCGTGGAGAAGGCCGCTGGAGCCGCAGCCACGCGTTCTGGTGCCGGGTTTCTTGGAGCGTTCAGTGTGACGAAAAGACATCCTTTCAAACCCCCATCCTAACCAACTGGCAGAAAGGGATCAGATGGATGTGTTACCCCCTTGGTTTGGGCAAAGTCTTATCTTGAAATTCACGAAGAAAGAGATGTTCGGATCTTGATGTTCCTCACAAAGGCCTTTATGGGGGAGTCTTCGCTGTTTCAACAACGGATCATTCCGTGCTTGCTCAGAACATATGTGCCGCATACTGATAGACTAGACTGGTGAAAGCGAAGTGTCATGTGATACAATACTGTTGTTCTCACCGGATAAAGAGAAGAAGAACCGTGGTTTTTGGATAGACCCTTGTTTTCACCCTCCAAAAACGATGGGTTTCCTGTAAATGTTCCCTTAAACCAATTCGGGTATATATATGTATAGGACCCACCCAAACTCTGGAAATCCTCACGCCTGGCATGCTGGGCACTGCGACGGTCAGGACAGTCCCGGGCTGAACTCCTTCCTGGCGGTGAACGGGTGATGGGAGTAACAGCCATCCGGTGGCAGGGGGCTCCAACTGTTCGGAAAGGGATGACACAGCCGATTTCGCCCCCATCTCGCCGCTCGCGGGCGTAGACTGGTTGTTCCGAACCGAACCCAGGGGGTCTTTCACGACGAGAACTTCTCTGGGCCGATCCGGCAGCTCTCCCGTTGATCGTGTCCCAAGTGATTCCCTCAGACCGGTTTATCATGACCTCTCTGACCTGGTGGGTCTCCTAGAATTCCCGGGCCAGTCCGGCCAGTCCGGCAGCAAGTCCGCCCAACAACAAGAACGAGCTCAAAGAACGTGAACCTCCTAAAGGCACTGCTTTTCTCTCCTAAAGGCGCTTTTGGTCGGTCACCTGGATGATGCGGGGTTCAGGTCTGGTCGCCCGAAAACCACCACACCGGTCCCGCCCACCGTTGGGAACACCCCGGTTCCCCGGCTCTCCTGCACCGAGGTGGTCACACGCTGGCCTCGGAGGGCTAGATGCCTTTTCCGCCGTTCCCCCTCCAATGTAACATCCCGAAGAAGAGACTGTCAGCATCCGTTCTTAAGAAGCTCATCCGTACGCCCGTGGGCTCCGTTTCCACCACAGAACAAGGGATGGTCACCACTGTTCCCCCAAAAAGGCATGAGTAGCAGTGTCAGGCAGTTTCACCCGTGTGACACGGGCCATGTCACATGTCCCTCCCTTCCACCCAAGGGTCGTCCAGGCACGCGCGCGTGCGCGCGGGCGTGGACGGGACTTGGAGATCCCCGGCCGTTGGGCAAGGTGAAGTTGATCTGTTGTCCCGGCGTGGCGCCAGTGGGCACTGCAACCTCGCCACGCGGTCAGCCAAGGGTCGGGGCATGGAGGGGTCGATGTGGTAAGGGTACGGTCTATTGGTTCCTATTTGTGGTTCTTGTTGGATCCTATATATCCTATTTGGTTTTTAAAAAAAATGCAAAAAACATACCAGGTTTGGATCCGAATTGGGTCGTTCACTTGAAATACTATCACCTCTCTTTTCCTCAGTAGGTCTATGCCTTCCACACCTGGGTGCGCCCCCATGACTGGGCTTTCACCACGACTAGCCCATCAAAGCAGCCCCTTCCTTCGTGTCTGGAGTCTGGAGGTAGCAACCACAACACCTGAGGTTGGAGAATGCTGATGCTGTTGATTTGGAAGGTTCTAGACCAGTCAAGTAGTGTAAGGTCTCATGCTGTCCATGTTGAATTGATCAGTGTCTGGTGTGTTTTACCAATAATGAAGCAGCGTGAAATGTTCAGACCTCCTGTATGTTCAGAACCTTCAAAACCCCACAACCTGTGTTCGGTCTATCGACCCCATGCTCGAGTGTTCTACTTCCAACAAACGAACGACTGTACGTAGATGGCGAAGCACGAGCTATCAGGTCAGCAATGCCGTCTCCCTGTCTTCGCTTCTTTCCCACGGAGGGCGATCCCATCCACGGAATGGCGGGGATGATCAGGAACCTCTACGGGACCTGAACGGATCTGGACAGGACAAACCCTGGACATCTCTCCCAGAGTTCTACACCCCACAACCTGAGCGACACGAGCTGTTGATCTCTCCCAGCAATTCTCCCAGTCAAAGGTCGACTACCTCCAACTTGTTAATGATCCAAAGGGCCAGAAGCTCGGGCCCTTCCTGTTCCCGCCGGAGCGTTTTGTGTCGCCTTGACCATGGTGGAGGGCTGCCCGACCACTTCTGCCTGCTGAGCCTGGAGATCGAGGCTCAGGAGGCAAACAGGCACGGTCAGCCAGAACCAAAAAAGCAGATCGAAGGGGTTGATTTGGACATGAGAAACGCAGAGATCGCTCGCGTGTCGTGTGGAAGCGCCTCGACCTGGTTGGCATTGGAAGACGATGCACCTGCAAAAAAGATCCCCGAGGGTCGGTGAAGAAGGGTCGGCGCATGCTGAACCTGTGGAGCTTTTCAAGGGGTACAGGGATGGTACACGGTACCCGAAAAGAACTAAATTCGAAGAAAACCCATGGATGAACCACCCAGACTGGGTGGATGAATCCATTCACCTCTTCAGTTGTCCGTTCACCTGTTGGCCGGGTGAACGGACGCGACCGGGCGGGCGTCAAAAGGTGGACCGCGAAAGGGACACACGAAAGGGCAGAGATGGTGCTGAAGATTGGCCGCACAAAAGCCAAAGCCACAGAGATTTTGATGAAGATTCAGTGATGTTTCTTTCTGTCCGAGCTTTCAGAGTCAAAGACCTTAAGCGTGAGATTCGTGAGTGAGTGTGGATCTTTTGAAACAAGGAAATGGCCACACGTTCGTGAATTTGCCCCCCAAAATATAAACGTGACGATTCATTCTTGAGGAACGTAGCTCGCTCAAAAAGACCCCGGTGACGCACGTAGCTCGCTCCAGCGACCAGGTTGAAAGATCAGATCCAGGTCGACCACTTTGGTGAGTTGATGGGTGAGTCTCGCCAAGGATCAGGTTTTTTTTGGTCTCCAAGAACAACAGGTGTTGGTGTGTGTGTGTGACCATTTTCATTTGGAGTGAAGAAAAGAAGATACACGACACCCAATCGATTCAGCATATATTCCGAGGATTCACTGGATCCAGCACATTAAGAGCAATCCTGCTGACCTCTTGAAACATCACAGAGCCTGTGCGTCCGTTGTGAAGAGCTTTCTTGCTAAACCTGGCAGCTAACCTGTTGAAGCAAGCAAGCCCTTTCTGTGACCGGTTCCAGAACACAATGGGCTCCCACGCCATCTGGGACCATCATGATTGCCTCAGATGGCACAGAACAGGTCTTGCGCTGATCAAAAGTAATGCAAACGATGCTAAAAATGCTTTGCTGCATGATCAACCATTCGTTGAAACCTACTGGAGCTCCAGCTTCACTCTTCAAGTCTCAATAGTCATTGCACTCAACATACAAGGGACACATGCGACAAGCTTCATGGAAGTGTAACTTAAACCTCCGGAAGATCCTTTTCGCTTACACAATACACTCTTAGTCTTTCCAGCTCCATGATTCTTCACGGGAGTGTAGATTTGGATGTGTTTGGCTGTGGAAAAAGAAAGAAGCTCTTTGCAGTTGCGCCTCAGGCGCAACACTGTGGATCTGGGGAGATTCTCTTCACTTGATTTCGTGTGTTTCTTCATTTTGCTGTACTTCAATCTTCTCCATCATGAATGCTGATGGTTCCTGCTGCACGTGATACCGCTTGAATTCCCATGAACTCGATCATGCTGAGTCCGCGGCGAGATCTCGGGTCTATCTACAAACTGCGTTTGCTCACGCTTTCTCTGATCCAGACCAACGCAGGAAAGCGGCAGCAGACCCAATCAATACGTTCCAGGACATGTGGGAGAAATAATGATATATGCTCTGCCAAAGGATCCGCGTCACTGGTTCGACTTCCAGTTGATTGCAAGCGGCAGCATAGCAATATATATATATATATTATGTTCCATAGACTGAAAGGGCAAGGTTTCAGAGCAAAAAAATCTCTTTCAAAGCCTACCACTCTCCTATCAGCTCGGGTGTACTCCCAGCCGTTCTAGGTCTTTCCTTGTAATATCCACCTAAAGTTAGGTGCCAGGTTGAAAGGACCTCTGTCATGCAATACTTTAAAAGATCAGCAAGTGCTACCATCAGGCCACACATCAACCTTTGTGAAACTTCACACCTAGGTACTGGTGCTAGAACCCATTTGCCTGAGCCCTGTTCCCTGGGGGCCACTTTGAGTGAACCCATCTTCACCTTTCCAAAGCCTTTGATGTATTTGTGTGTATTTGTTACTGATAGCTTCTTGTTACTAGTAGTAAGGTACCTTGTTACTACTAGTAAGGCACCTTGCTACTAGTATACCTTCTTGTTACTAGCTCTCAAACCTGCAATGCAATTCGACAATCCGATCTTTTTGGCTCTCCGGCGACCCGATGTCTTCGCGCTTCCACGGCAGAGGAGACCTTGCCCCGTGGCAGAAACCCGCCTGAGAGTCCTTCTGCGACTCCTGACTGATGTCCTGACTGATCATGGCTGGATGTCCTCCGCTCGAGTTGTGCAAACTGGAACCCCCAGTTAGAAGCCTTGACGGGCTGGCAGTCACTGGTAATCTGTCACTGGAACAGCATCCACTCGAGGCAGAACCTGATGTTGGTCGTAGCGGCTACCTATAGAGAGTTCAATCAAGGCCGTGGGCCGTGACAGTTCTTGGTGTTGCCATCTCCTTCATGATCCTTCATCATTGTTTTTGAGTATCTCCTCGGGTGGTCGGGTCTCCTGCATGAGCTCGGAAAGCCCTTTGAATTGATCCGTTCGCCCCGACCGCGGACGTTTTCGTGCAGAGCCACACGAAAACGCGTGGCTCATGCGTCCAAACACGCGTCGTGTTGTGTCCTGGATCGGAACTCGGTGCAGTCGCATTCGGGGTGTGTCAGTTCTTTTGATCGATTTGTTCAGCCTATGCCATGTGGAAAATGTGTTGGGAATTCATATTCAAGCAAATATTGAAATTCGACTTGACTTTTGTGGATCGGGGTCATCATCGCGAATGACCTGGGAGATTTAGAGTATTCGATCAAAGGCTTTGGAATGTGGAAAACTTGTGGCGAATCGTTTTGACAAAGAATTGCCATAATTTGTTGATTGGCAGTGAAGAGCCAAACTTTCAGCATCACCAGCACCATCAGCCCATGTTCTTATGAGATGCCCAATCATTCCCAAACCTGGGAAAATCATGGAGGCGATGCAGAACATCGAGACCTCAAACTGCTACTTCAAGGTCGGTGGCGACTTCTCCGGAATCCATGATCCCAAATCATGAATAGATCGATGCAAATCTGGCATCTCAACCACATCTCCACCAGTCCATGGCTCCACGCAGATCCGCAAATGCCAAACCCCCAACCACGAGATCCGCAAGAGATCTGGCATCCCAATCCCAAGAAGACTTGCCACGCGGTTCCTCCGCGTTTGTCACGCGCGGAAGATTTTCAGGGTCCGATCCATCGACCTCGGAATCCAAACGAAAAAAGAATGAAAAGTGAGAAAGAGAAAGACCAGTGAAGGACCAGCGGTTTTTGGAAGGTGTGGTCCTTTTTCCTCCGGATATCACGTTAAAGGCCGTTAAAGGTGTTTTTCCTGTTTGCCTTACGGATTGTGAGAGCCATAACGACCAGTAAGGGGAGGACGTCTCGAGACTCTTTGGATTGATGGTTGAACCATCTGGAAGAGCATATGAAAACTCATCATGTGGCTGAGAAGCTGACAGGCTGGGGTGAACCGGTCATGGTAGATGGGCATGCTGCAATTAAGAACTCGAGTATGTAGTTCAAGTTCAAAACATTGACAGAATGATCTTAATGTAGACTCTTGATTCATCAACCACACCCAATTGGATTGTAAAACCATGTAAAAGCCTCTTCATATTGGGGGGTTGAAATAGAATCAAGAGATGTCAAGAGTCTTCATGAGGTGCTTTGCTTTGGATTCCGACTTCGCGTCTATTGCGGTTTGCGCCCAGTGACACGGTGGCCAATGATCGCGCATGCTGGCTGAAGCACACACCCATCACAGCGTCCCCGTGGTCCTCATGGAGACGGAGACGCCAAAAAGGCCCTGCTTGTTGAGTGCTTATTGAGAAAAGTGTAGTGCTAATTGATGACTGCAGCATGACTGCATGACAAATTTTACATGGAAAACATGTCCTTCCCCAAACACCACGGACCACGTCTGCTGCTGATTGCGGCCAGATCCCGGCACGGTACACGGTACGTGTGCCGCCACTCCCTGCCTTGAGGGTCACCGCCTCAGTCAGGCTGGACTTGGAGGCAAAGTTATAGATCTGCACCACCTCTGCACCCACAGAGAGGTATTGCCCTGGCGTGGATCCGTGCAAACGAGGACCCGGTGAGGTGGGGCGGCCGGAAGTGGTGGGGCGGAGCCAAAGACGGCCCTGGAAGCAAACGCTTTTCGCTGCTGTTTTGCATGAAAGGCGGAAAGCCCAACAAGTGAGGCAAACCTCCAAACTCTCAACATGTACAATTCTGTTGACTCTCTCTCTCTCTCTCTCTGTCTCTCTGAAATGAGGGACTTGGAACATCTCGATTTTTGCCCCCCTTCTGGCAAAACCCACATTTTCCAGCCCAGGAATCTGGTGACTTGCCACTCACGAACTGTTGATGTCGCAGATCAACTCTCTATGCTCCCACCACCATGGCCTGTGGTATCAAAGGCCACTGTGTTAACGGGGCTTTCAAGCTGCAGCCTCAAGCTAGCAGCTAGGCGCAAAGGAAATGAACCCACACTTGGAATCAATCTAGAGTTATATATGCTTGAAAACAAGCAACTCATAGGATGTTGATATTTTCCAACGAAAAAAGGATCGTCTGCAAATCTCTGCAAAAGGATCGGTGAGATGAATGGGCCACAGTAGTAGCTTACCCCTTATCTCCACTACTTCTACCCATGTAGACCATGTAGAATCTAGAAAGCTTTCACAGTGTCCGTGCACCTGCCCAAATGCAAATCTGTTCCTCAATTCTTCTCACCCAGGGATCTTCCGATTCTGCCTTCACACGCCCGATTCCTTCCCCCCCGATCTTCCGGGAAGGTGCAGAGGATCTCCAGCCGTTCCGGCGAACATCGAACAAGCGGCCCCGGCAAAAAGGCGGCACGGCACCCCAACGGAACGCGACGACCCCCGCTGACTCCGCTCCAAGGGGCGTCTGGATGTTCAGCGGCTTCCGAAGGTCCCAGAGCTTCACCTGGTGGCTCGGCGTCGGTTCTGCGGGGGGTCGAAGCGGAGTCGAAGCCGCTGGGTGGCGGAAAATAAGGTGAGGTCGGTCGCGAGAGAGAAAACTCGTATGGGGTGGAGGCCTCCAAAATCTGTCGAAGGCCAAAAAAGAAGTTGAATTGGAAACCGAAGGTCTCACAGAAAGGTGTTTTGGTTTCGCGAAGGCATAATACATTAACTACATTAACTAACCTCTCTTCAAGTTGTTACTTGGGAAGTTTTGGCCGCTGCTCAATTGGAAACCCTCCCCAAAAAATACATCTCAAAAAATGGAGCCCTTCGGGGGGTCCCAAAAGGTCTCGCCGCCGAACGCCCCGAACGCGGTAAACCACTCGGCGGCCCGTGCCGTGCCATCCTTGGACCTCGAAGAGCGGAAGGAAGCCCATGGGCCATGGGCCAACCGGTCAGTGTGGAGAGAGGAGAAATGGACTTCTTTGTGAACACGGACCCAAACACTCCCCTTTTTGGTACTTTTAGATCGATTTTTGAGTTCGGTTCGCTCTCTCAACTCCAGGTCCAACTCCTTCCGGCCACAACCACTCAACGAGCACCACCGGCCCGGGTTGGTCACTGTTCGAAAGCCATGTGGCCCCGTGGCCAAGTAGTAGCCGTTCCCTGAAAAGCTCAAGGCCTGACAGGGCCGGGGGGAAAGGTGGAAAGGTGGCGATTCCAACAAGGAGAGCGTTTCACTTCACGGTGGTTTGCATGCACTTCAACTGTGGTTTCCTACTGCAATCTGTAATGGTTCTTGGCTGGTTTGGGGTCAGAATTGAGTCGGAAGTCGTAACTGCGGAGTGCCTTGTCACGATGTGTTGGCTAGGTAGGATAAGAAGCCGAGTAAGGTAGTTCAATGAACAGGGCTCAAAAAAGAAGCTACCTGTGCTGTGAGGCGGATGTTTTTCCCATTCCAATGCCACACATCGAAAGTGTGGCTAAGCCTATTCGCGAAGCTGCACATGAGGGTCTCCTCTAACCTCTA